CCAACAACTCGTGTGTTGATTTTTGCCGAATCCGACAGAACTATTCGTTGTGTTTTGTGATGCTTTGTTGATATGATTGGGAGATATGTTAAGTGCAACATCAGCGAGTTTTAGTTATGCTTGGAGGCAATTTAAAGTACATAAGAGGGATTATCTGACAAGTGATTTAGAGTTGGTTGTTGTTGTGTTTGTGCTGGAGTTGGAGGCTTCAATTGGTTTAAGGCCTTCTGTTTCATATTCTACGCTAAGCATCACTTAGTGAGTGTTCTTCAGATTCTGTACCATCAAAAGCAAGTAACTTAGCTTCTCTCTAATGCGCCTTCATATTAGATTATGAATATATTTCTTTAAGTATAAGAACTTTCATACTTGAACACACATTAGATAACACCATTGTTCTTTTAATACTTTTGTTATCATCAAAACCAAGCATATATGTCATGAACAAATCTTGTTCTAACAATCTCCCCCTTTTTGACGATGACAAACATAAGTATTTAAGGGATAATGTTTGTGCTATTTAATTTTTCTTAGATAACATTAGAGCATGAGGTTTGTAAGCTCTCTCTGAGTCTGATAGATCAAATATTGAGTTTTGTAAACTCCCCTTAAGTTCTACTTCTAAGAAATCTTAAAATATATTTTAATTTTCTCAACAACGTCAGAGTACGAGGTTTGTAAGCTCCTTCCGAGTCTAATAGACCAAAGTTGAGTTCTGTAAACCCGCCTTAAGTACTACTTTCAATAAAATTATAATTTTAACTTTCTTAGCAACATTAGAATGCGAGATTTGTAAGCTCCTTTTGAGTATAATAGGCTAAGGTTGAGGTCTGTAAGCCCCCCTTAGTTCTATATTCAAGAAATTTTAAAATTAATTACCCGGGCAAGATAACCATAATAACAGTAGATATAGAAAATTAAATGAACAACATTAACATTGTTTATGTGAGCAACAACATTGAATCTGAAGGGTATAAATCCTTATTTAAATACGTCTACACTTTCTCCCTCTTTTGTCACATCAAAAAGATTTAAAAACAAAAGAAAGGACAATTAAAGCAAACAGAAATCAAAAGTGCATAATCCTGAGATGGTCAAAGATGCTTTATAGGGTTTATAATAGTTAGAGTCAAGTAAATGTAGTGTCTCAAGATGGTCAAAGATCATTAAATATTGGTTCACGAATGTACTCAAACGAATACTTAAAGCACTTTATAAAAGCAGATCGACATAGTGTCCTAAAAAATGCATCCTGTTCTTCAGAAATTCTTCAAGCAAAAGATAGTTATCAAGAGAAAGTCTCATAACCATTGCAATTTATTTTTTATAACTTCAACATAAAGAGAATCAAGCTTGGTGTATTGTGTAACACCCCCTTCTATACCCCAAATAAATGCATATAAAACAATTAAGCATATACAAATTTATCAGAGTAATAGTTTTCAGAATAAGGTATAAAGGAAGAATGTCACAACTTTAACAATAAAACACTTGCTCCATAAAATATGTAACATTTTCAATTTAAGCGGAAGATAAAATCATTTACTCTTTTTCAAAATATTAATCCAAATTAATATATCATATCAGTTAGATTACAAAACCACATCAGCTGATACATCGCAATGTATCACAAAAGAATGACTATACTAGTCTAACTACCCGGTGTTACATATCAGAGCAGCAGACTCAAAAGAATGAAGACTAATCTTCACAAAAGGACTCCAGCATCCTAATCTGCAATGCCTCGTAGAGCATTATAAAACAGCAGAAGGGTGAGAAATATAACCATAATAATCAAAGCATAAGATTATATATATATATATAGGTAATCAATACAAGTTCCACTCCGTATTTCTCACCACAATTCAATTTCTTAGTTATATATATTTGCCACACATATAATAACCACACGAATATTGTAAAGCATTTCCACATCATGCATACTCTCACAATTTCACAATCTCATCATTCACACATAAGCATCACTTCATGCATATGTCATATATTAATGTGACTCAACAACTCAATGCAACTCATGCAATGCGGTACCGACTTTCGTTATCTTTTTTTGGTTTTTACATTAAACCGGGTCCACACTTCTAGACCGATAACCCGTTATCTTTTTTCGGTTTTTACATTAAACCGGGTCCACACTTCTAGACCGATAACCACAAAGGCCCATCCTCTAAGCCTTCAAACCCACACTTCTAGGTTTGGGACAAGCCACTAGTTTCCACGAAACTAACAGACATTGCCTCTTGACTAAATGATGCATGTACAGTCAATCACAACAAATGCACTTAAGACCGACATCTTAATCTCATGCATTTACATAATTCATCACTTCAAGAATTACACAATGATTGCACATACAACATATATCACACAATCAAGGTATTCACATCACAATACCATTTATACAATTATAAGTCATGCACACATATCCACAATGTTCTCATGCATACTCATCACATAATTGTATACCCATTAAGCATTCGCAAGTTCATTAGACAATACACATACATTCATCATTGTATTCACATGTATTTCTATTTATCATAATTAATACGCATCGCACATCAACTAGGATTCACGCCCGAAGGCTACCCACAGTACACATCATCTCAATAGATCATATCTATATCATATCATAGAGGTATTAACCTATGTGAAGCAACCAAACCATCACCACATGAACAACACATCAAAAGAAAAATGCTGTCACATTCGCCTTCGTTCGCCTGGCGAACCCTCGCAGCGAACCTTCGCCTGGCCTTCGCCTGGCGAACTCTCTCAGCGAACACTCGCTAGGCTTCGCCTGGCGAGACTTCCCAGCGAACCCAAGTCAGTAGCTACTGACTTCATTCGCCACCATTCGCCAGCACCTTCGCTATCCAACTTCGCCTGGCGAACTCGCCAGCAAAGTCCACTGGGATTAACTTATAATTATTCGCCAACATTCGCTGAGCTTCGCCTGGCGAGAGCCAGCGAACCTGCGCAGAACAGAACCCTATTCTGTTCCTCCTTCACCAATCCATCATCAACCCTCTCTTACACATCTAAATCAGTATAAACAGCATCAATACATGTTACCCGACTATTCTACGACACTATTACTCAGTTTCAACCGATTAAATCATCAATCTACCGATTAATCCAACTTTTGCCCTAAATGGAAAGTGATGGAAACTCTACCAAAATCCCAACCCAACATACATAACATCATACAATGATCAAATAGAAACATTTCTCACCCTTACCTCGATTAATCGGAGCTTTGATGTTGGTTCTTGATGATTTCCACTTTTCCTCTTCTTCTCTTCTCTTTCTCTCCTTTCTTCTTCTTTCCTCTTTCTTTCCAAAATGTTTTCTATCCTTCTTTTCTTTTCTTTCTCTCTTATATATTCCTTTATTCTCCTTCCTTCCAATTTCCTTCTCAATTCTCTATTAATTCCAATTAATAAAAATTAATTTCCAACATTAATAAAAATCCCACTAAATCAATTAATTACTACAATTAATTATTTAATGAAATTTGGGCGGTTACATATTGCACACCCAGTGTTCCATAAAATTACTGTACACTAAGTGTTTGACAAAATTCCATGGTCAAGTTTTATTTTACTTCTCATTGGAAATTGTTTATCTTAAGTGTAATTTAAATTCAAACAAATTATATTGAACTTGTTGATTGACTTTTCTCATCTTTGACATACATTCTACTACAGTTGTACGCATATCTGATTCTACCAATAATGATTCGGATGAACGAGAGTCAATCCGGATCGCTTCCGCTTTCCATAGAAAAATACTTTTCAAAACATAATTTTTAATAAATTTTTTTAATTAGGCGATCTATTCAACCCACTTTTAGATCGTTGCCTTCGTCTAATCAACACAGTTAGACCACACAACTTAAATTATATTATTTATTTCAACCGTTATATTTGGTCAAACATAACTAAGAGGATTGCTATTCTAACATCCAAATCTTTACGCCGTATCCTTGCACCATGTAAAATACATCAAAGCATGTGTTGATTTGTATTAAAAAAGTGAAAAATAATTATTAAATATTACAAAAAGAATCAAACCGTATTTTATACGGTATAGTTGTCACATTTGAGTGTAGGATTATCATTCCTCCATAACTAAAACATAAAAGGAGAGAAGAATGTATGATATAACCGTTGATTGAGTTTGAGAATCATAAAAAAAATCACTATTAGAATAAACATAAAAGTCATCATTTTCTATATATGGAGATTCAACTCAAAACTCTAAGCATTCACTTTTATCATAAATCTAACAATACTTTGATCATAAGCATCCACATTTATCATAAATCTAACAATATTTTGATCATAAAATACACTTGCAAAAGACTCGCCCCCAAACAATCCTCGATAAACAACTTAGTACATTTATCTATTATTATTTTCTTGCAACATTGTATTATCTAAAAAAAACATGTCTAAGCAATTGTTATTAAATCAATTTCAACCTAAATAGCTGGATAATCTATGACTCAATCAATGCATCACCACTACATTGCAAGTAGCTCTATTTCTATAACAGTTTCAAGTGGAATAATTCACAATGTATGTATCACCCATGTTCAGTCCACTTAATAAAATCATTGAGACACATCACACAATATAACCAATTCCCGGCAATCAAGTTGCTCTAGCCAGCAAGCCAAGTCTTCTTTCACAACACGAGGTGGTCCTATTATTACTCGTCCTTTTGTTTTGTTACATCAACAAACAAAACACACAGTGGGTCCCAATAACATGTCTTAATTACCCTTTTACCCTCTTCCTCGTTCCCCTCAATACATCGATCATAGATAGATCCCTCTCTCACTCAAATTCCTCACGTCACCCCCACTAGCTCCACAAACAAACACACCACATTACCACATTACACATTCCCACAATCTAACCATTACATAATCTTCACACTAAACTCATTTCTCTGTTTCTCAACAGAACCAGAGAATGCAGCACTTCACCCTCGTTACGATCTTTCTTGTACTTTCCCTCACCCTTCTTACTCCATCTAATGGAGGCTCCATAGGTATAAACTACGGTCGCATAGCAAACAACCTCCCCTCCGCCATGAAAGTAGTTCATCTCCTCAAGTCACAAGGTCTAGACCGTGTCAAAGTCTATGACACCGACCCTTCAGTTCTCCGAGCATTATCCGGATCCAAAATCAAAGTAACCGTTGATCTCCCAAACCAGCAACTCTTCGCCGCCGCAAAAGCACCTTCCTTTGCTCTCTCATGGGTCGAACGGAACGTCGTTGCTTACTACCCTCACACCCAAATCGAAGCCATTGCAGTTGGTAACGAAGTCTTCGTCGACCCCGCCAACACCACAAAGTTCCTCGTACCCGCCATGAAAAACATCTACAGAGCACTCCAAAAACATAACCTCCACTCCGACATTAAAGTTTCCTCCCCCATCGCACTTTCCGCACTTGGTAACTCATACCCTTCCTCATCCGGGTCATTCCGACCCGAGTTAATCCAACCCGTTTTTAAACCCATGCTAGATTTCATCCGCGAAACCGGTTCTTACCTTATGGTAAATGTTTACCCTTTTTTCGCTTATGAATCAAATGCTGACGTCATCCCTTTAGATTATGCCCTATTTAGACAAAACCCGGGTCAGGTGGATCCGGGTAACGGGTTAAGATATACGAATCTCTTCGATGCTCAAATCGATGCCGTTTTCGCTGCACTCACTGGTTTGAAATACGACGATGTGAACATTGTCGTTTCAGAGACAGGCTGGCCTTCGAAAGGTGATAGCAATGAAGTGGGTGCGAGTGTAGAGAATGCAGCTGCATACAACGGGAATCTCGTCCGTAAGATCTTGACTGGAAGTGGGACCCCTTTGAGACCTAAAGCAGATCTAACCGTTTATTTATTCGCGCTTTTCAATGAAAATCAGAAACCTGGACCCACTTCAGAGAGAAATTTCGGTTTATTTTACCCTAATGAGAAGAAGGTTTACGACGTTCCTTTAACCGTGGAGGCGCTGAAGAATTACCACGACAATCCGTCACCGGTTTCTCCGGTTGCCGGTGGTGCGAATCAACCTGCCCCGGCGGAGGGTGGTGGTAATGGCGGTGTTTCGAAGAGTACCACCGGGAACACGTGGTGCGTTGCGAATCCTTACGCGGATAAAAGTAAGCTACAAGCCGCTTTAGATTTTGCTTGCGGCGAAGGAGGTGCTGATTGCCGTTCGATTCAGCCTAATTCCACGTGTTACAATCCCAACACGTTGGTTTCGCACGCTTCGTTTGCGTTTAACAGTTATTATCAAAAACAAGCACGTGCGGGTGGGAGTTGCTATTTCGGTGGTACGTCGTACGTGGTCACGCAAGAGCCCAGTGAGTATTCTAAAAAAACCTTTTCTTTCTCGTTATTTTTTTTGTTACTAGATTCTATAATATTCGGTGTAGTTTAGATCAGTGTTGCTAACGTGAGCTAGGTTGTAGAACCAGAAAGTATGCACGTGAAGAGGGAATCTTTTATGATAATACGTGGCATAATTTTATTGGGTAGAGTTTATTATTTTGGGAACACATTATATAACGTAGGGTACTATAGTGTTTATATTGATAGGTGAAAAGTACTTTTATGATAACAAAAAGACAAAGAGGTAAATGTAATTGTAGTAAGTGTACTAGTTCAAAATTTGTTGTAAAAGGGTCAAATAGTCAAAGATTGGGTAATGTGAAACATTGGATTCTAAATGTACTTTATTTTTTATTTTAAAGCCTTAATTTAAGTTCAAATATCATACATTTATGAGTGTGATTTTTTGTGCAGAGTATGGTGATTGTGAATATCCCACTGGATATTAAAAGCTGGTTTTGCACTGTGTTGAAGGGTGAAGGTGAAGAGATTTGGTTGATGATTAGTTAAAATAATGTTTAGTACTTGACTTGTTATTAAGTTGGTGGGAGTTGGCTAGCTAAATTTACTTTTAGGGACTTTAATTAAATTGTATCTAAGTTTTTATTATTTTGGAGTAGTAGTTAATTTTCATTTGCTTAGACTAGAAGTAGTATTCAGTTTTCATTTTGCTAATACATTCTAGTTTCTTTAATTTTAATCTACGTTTGAGTAAATATAATTTTCTTTTCAGCTTTACAAAACTAATCATATTTGTGGTGAAACAATCCTCTATATTTACACATATTTGTGTAAGTTGGAGAAAGTGGATAGTGAAGTTAATTTCATTGGAAAGTAATTTGTTACAAAACTCTTATTTATAGAACTTGTAAACATCATAAATAACTGCTACCTACCTAACTTGGTAGTTTCGATTTAATACTTTGATAGCCCTAAACCAGCTGACACAGCTTGGTACATGTGGTTCGGCAGTGTAATCACTGATGACGATTTGTGTAAGGTATTGAAGAGTGCAAGCAGCATGTATTCAATGAAGTATTCATGCCATGTTTACTTTACGTGTAATGATGTAATTTTTTTAAACATCTCCTATGGGATAGTTTATGACTTTATGGCTTATTTAGTTGGTTTGATGGTGTCACAAACATATTATCTACTATATTTTTACTTTAATGACATATTTGAAGCAATTCATGAGATATAGATATTTCTTTTTGTTGTTTGATTGCAAATAGGAATGGCAAAAAAAGAAAATCCATGTCCGTAAGCATCCAACGGTTTAATCCGTTAAGGACACACCACTTACATTAGTTTAAATTAGATATTCAAGGGTAAAATAAAACATTATTAAAATTAAAATAAAACAAAAAAAACAATACATTTGTTCATAAAACTAGGTATTCGATACATTTGTTCCGTTAAGGACACACCACTTACATTAGTTTAAATTAGATATTCAAGGGTAAAATAAAACATTATTAAAATTAAAATAAAACAAAAAAAACAATACATTTGTTTAAATTAGGTATTCGATTATTCTTTATAAAACTCAAAATGGTTAGGTAAATGTGCTCTAATAAAACTCTTCAGGGAGGGTCATAAAGCTCTTAAATGATGCCGAAATGTGCGAGTTGTGGACTAAATACTTACAAAACACGGGTGAGAAAATTAACGGTTTGTTAACGGTTTGTAAAACTTGAGTTCTTTAGTATTTTTGAGAGTTTGTCTAGTGAGTAGATTAACAATTTGTAAAAATTGAGTTCTTTGGTATTTTTGAGAGTTTGTCTATTGATAGTTCATGGAGCGTACCGTTTAGTCATAGTGACACTGACTTAGTGTCTTCTTCCTCAAGTCCGACTAAAGTCACCATGGTGCTCTCCATATCTACTTAGCGCTCATTTTATAAAGAGGTCATAAGTATTGTTTCGATATGTCTTGAAGATAGATGAATTCAAGCTTTCTAGTTAGATTTGGAGTTGTCTAACACTGGAAATGTGACTGATGTGATATTGGAACTTTGTTTTGTCGGCTGAGAAGATATGCACGCGGAGGCCTAAGGGAGTGACTGGAAAATACTTCTACTTTTATATTAAAATGATCAAGCATTTTAAAGTCGTTATCCCCTTTACCATCCTAGAGTCCAAGATCCTAAACGTTTCAACGTTTCCCCTTCCCAGCTGCATTAGAACATCTCAACTTTTATCTGACATTTCGAGGTACGATGTTGGGGTTTCAACATCACTCACATGACAATCATATTTTTTCTTTTTATGAGACAAAAGGTTTACTGTGGTGGATGTGTCTTCGTGAGTGTCATCCTTGGGCGAGCTATTTTCTCCCCTTACACTTCCAATTACAAACACTAGAAGGAAAAGTTTGTCCAGGTTAGGGGCTTTGCCTAATGTCTTAAGGTCATGTACGTAGAAGATGGAAATCATAGTTTTCTTTGCATTGGACGGGCGAGCCCTACACTATCATGGGTTACGACACATCCAAGCTTAGAGAGAGAGAGAGAGAGAGAGAGAGAGAGAGAGAGAGAGAGAGAGATGATAAAACTATTGTAGAATTTTGCCTCTATGGGGCTGCGAGACCTACTCAAACTTGAGGGAGATCTACTAACACTAATGAATTTGCTCTGTAAGATGATTTCTTGATATCCTACCCTTGTACATTCTTTTTTTATTAATTCTCACTTGTCTTTTTTGTTTTTGCAGAGAGGATGGACCCTTATCATTACATGAAAAGAAAGTGATGATGGCGAAGGCTAAAGCTCGTCGGGGCGAGGTAAAACCGATTCACTAGAGTGACCCCTATAACTTCCAAGCTCGTGCGATTAGCCACTGAGGGGAAGTCATAAAATTTGTTCCCATATCTACCGTCTTGCCACCTTTACCTCTTAAGAGTACAAGGTAACACCAAGAAAAGAGGAATAAGACGAATCCGAGAAAAGGTATAGTTGATGTAGGCACCGTCGCCTCCAAGGACCTGTATATGGGAAATTTTATGGAAGGTGGTGACACTAGCTCTTCAAAAAATGGATCTTCTAATGCTTTTGATAAATGTGAGGGGTGGGGGTGAGTGGTTCATTTTTGAGATAGGAGTTTTGTAACACCCCAATTCAACCCCTTACAATAAATAATAAAATCAGAGTTTCAAAATTTCATCCAAACATAAATTGAGGTATCACATATTCATTTTCATCACTTTGCATTATAATGCACATCACAAAAAAATAAAAAGTCGGATATACCGATTCATATCATTAACATCATATAACCATATGAATATTCACAGCACAGCGGATGTATTCACAAAATATACGCATCAACAAGTTATCATCAATACATAAATTCATAAAGTCATAAAATAGTATACATAGACTATCATATCCAAAATAATAACGTCGCCCAAATCCCGAGTGTTACTACTATCAGAGCAGAGCGACTCAAAATAAAGAGACTCGAGCTAATCCACATCATCCTCGCGGATCACCTGCACGTTACCAATATAAAGGCAACGGCGAGACAAGTAAAGGGTGAGATACTCCAAAACATATAATTAAAGGCATGATGAAATATATGAATAGTTTGGAATCATAAATGATATAGGCTTAATAAGGATATATTAACACATATCCAAATCTCACACACTTTAAATCATCATTTAGTGTATAGAATCAACACTTTAATTTCGTCACATACTCGCCATAATCATATCAAAACAAGATATAAACTCCATCGCCATAAATTCATATCGTCGTTTTACCGTCATGTTATATTCATCGCATAATCCTCATGAATTTATCACATCATAATCACTTTATGTTTAACATAAAAATGATCACAAAACAAAGTATCATACAACATCACAATTCATCATAAGTCATCAAATAAGACTCAATGCCAAAAGACTCAAAAATAAACATAACCGACTCCATGAGACACGACTATGTTATGCATGTGGTACCCGTCGCTTTGTCCATAATTAGGGAAATTTGGCATAAAGCCCATCGTCGCTTTGGCATAAAAGCCCTCGTCGCCAATGCAATGTATGTGACTTGACGACACGACATCACAAACACGACACAACAAAAACATCATCATCGCGCATCAAGATTGGCATAAAGCCCACGTCGCCATACTTATCCACATCAAGATAACATATCATCGCATCACATATCATCAAGTATTCATTATAAATAAACCGTCGCAAACATCATGTTTAATCACACCACATCATTATCAAATAATTCACTTCATTCCAAACATGGAAAAATAATCAAACATCAATAATCGTCGCAAAAGTCATTCATAATAATCGGCATTAATCATAATTATCAATGTCGAAATCGGATTGTCCATACGCGACTTAAACCGACTAAAACGCAACCCGTTTAGAATTAACCGTAAATTGACCTATTTCGGGTCACTCCGTTAAAAACTCGTAATCTCTAAAAACTAACCTCACCACGACGTTCTACACGTCAAAGTTAGCTAGCACGTCAATTTTCGTCCAATTCGGAGTAACTAGCTCCGTCGCCGAAATTGCCAAAATCGAAAAATCAGAACATAATTGGGTTCCAAATTAAATTGGCTAACTTATTTCATATTTGTATTTAATTAATATAATTATTTAATATATTAAGTAATAGAAATAAAACTTTAGCAGAAACAGTTTCTGCTAAGTTTTACTTACTGCATAATTTTTTTTTTCTTTTTATAACTTTAATATAATTAGTTTTTTTTTTCTAATTTAATTCTTTTTAATTAATTCAATAACAATCTAACAACAACAATAACACTTAAATCAATTCCTCTAACCTCTATCAAATTCACTCAACACAACTCATAAACCCTAAAAATCAATTTTATCCCAAATCAAAATATACCAAATCAAACTCTAACTATAAGTATTGGAAAATCAAACCCCTTACCTTATATACTTGAAATGATTCTTGATGATTCAACCAACCCAAAACCCAAGCTCTGTGTTCTTGTTCTTCTTCTCTTCTCCAAGACCCTCTAGCTCTCTCTAATGCCTCTAAGTGTGTTTTGTGAGTTATGACATAAAACAAGGTGTATTTGGTTTTGTTTAGTAGCAAGACATAATTCAAATTACCAACTAGCCCCTCTTAAAATACACTACTCATAACACTAAATAATATTATTAACCTAAATAATTAAAATAACTCCAAATAATTAAGTATCAGTCCGAATAATATTTTACCGAACCGAACGGAATGAAAACCGGACCGAACAAAATAATTACCGGTCTCTCAAAACAAATACCGGACCGAATAAAATAATTACCGGTCCCTCAAAACAAATACCGAACCGAATAAAATAATTACCGGTCCCTCAAAATAATTATCGGACCGAATAAAATAATTACCGGTCCGAATAATACGTCGCCAAATATATTAACAGATATATCGGTTAGTATAAATATT